AAAAAAAAAAAAAAAAAAGACTTGCAAGATGCTATAGAATAATTCAACCTAATTTGATGTTTTTACAAAAATAGCAACAAACAACAGAATACATATTCTTCTTAGGTGCAAAGAGAACATTCACCGAGACAGATTATATTCATGGCCATAAAACAAGTCTCAATGATTTTGTTTTTGAGACAGGTCTCACTCTGTCATCCAGACTGAAGTGCAGTGGTGTGATCATGACTCGCTGCAGCCTCAACCTCCCAGGCTCAAGTGATCCTCCCACCTCAGCTTCCTCAGTAACAGGAACCACAAGTGCACACCACCAAGCCCAGCTAATTTTAAAAATTTTCTGTAGATATGAGGTCTTAGTATGTTACAGTTCAGGCAGGTCTTGAGCTCCTGAGCTCAATCGATCCTCTGGCCTTGCTCTTCCAAAAACGTGAGATTATAGGTGTCAGCCACTGTACTGGCCAATAAATTTTAAAAGACTTAAACTGGCCAAGCACAGTAGCGTATGCCAGTAATCCCCAAGACGTTGGGAGGCTGAGGCTGGACAGTCGCTTGAGACCAGGAGTTCAAGACCTGCCTGAGCAACATAGCGAGATCTGGTCTCTACAAACAAATAAACAAAAAAATTTAGTCAAGAGTGGTTGCAGGTACCTGTGGGCCCAGCTACCCAGGAAGCTGAGATTGGAGAATCACTTGAGCCCGGAACCTGGAGACCAGCCTGGGCAACACTGAGAGACAAGACCCCTATCTGTACAAAAATAAATAAATAAAAATAGTAAGATTGAAATCCTATTAAGTCTGCTCTCCACAAAAACCAAATTAAACGGCTGTGGAGACGAAGTATGTCTAGACAAGTACAAGTGCTTAGGACAGAATCTGGCGTCTGATCAGTGCTCTGCAGAGCTGGGTGGGTCTCCGCAGTGGCCCCGCTGGAAGAACCACGTGGAGAGACAGGCTCCAGGTCTTGAGACCCCAAAGCCTGGGAAAGCAGAGAGAATGCTTCGCCAAGGGCATGGCTTTGGTCTAGTGGGGTGAGAGTTTCCTGCCCATCCAAGCGTTCCTGGCTGATTAACCTCTCTGGGCTCGGCCTATGCGGGGGTCCCTGGAAGGCCTGGGCCTCCTGGAGGGAAGGCCTGGGCCGCCTGGCAGACCCCTCCCTCTCACGTCCCCGGGGTCCCCAGCCCGGCCGTGAGTAGGCCCTACCTGGCAGCCCACCACCTCCGCCAAGTCGGGGTAGACGGGCGGCGGCTCGCGCAGGCAGCACAGGAAGAAGGCCGTGTCGAAGCGGCGAGTGCCGCCGCGCCAGAAAGGGGTGAGCCAGCCGCTCCAGTCGTGCAGCGCCCAGATGTCGGGCGTGCAGTCGAGGTGCTCGCACAGCCGCAGGAAGTGGCTCGGGTCCCGGCGCACGCGCGCGCGCCAGGCGGCCAGGCCGGGCGGCGGCTGGAGGGCTAGGCCGGGCCCGGACGCTGGGTCTGGCGGGGAAGTCCTGGGCCGCAGCAGCAGCACGCCCGCCTCCTCGAAGGCCTCACGCACGGCGCAGATGCGGAAGGCGACGTCCTCAGGCAGCGTCCAGGTGCCGTCTGCGTGGGCGTCGCCGGCGACGTTGGGCAGCGACGGGAAGGCGGCGCGGCGGGCCGGCGCCGGGGCCAGGCCGAAGCGCGGCGGCCCGTGGTGCGGTGCGAAGAGACCCAGCCAGTCCGCCGAGCGGTCGGCCGCGTCCAGCACTCCGCCTGGGAAGACGTGCGCGCCCGGCATGAAGCCTTGTCGCCCAGAGCGCTGCAGCAGCAGCAGCCGGAAGCCCTCGGCGGGCGGCGGGGGCGAAGGCTGGGTGGCGGTCCCCGGGAGCGTCCAGCCAGCTGCCAGCACTACGCTGGCCGCCTGCCGCCAGCGGCTGGGGCCCGGCCGCAGGGAGCCGCTCATGGCGGGCGGCGCGCGCGGCTTCCGGGATCCGATTCTTGCGCGGCCCGAGCTCCTCGGCAGGTGGCCCGGCCCCGCAGCGACCCCCGCGCCCGCAGAGACCTCGTGGGAGATGACAGCGCCCCGCGTTAGGTCAGCACCGGCACCGGCTCCGGAGCCTGCCTGTGGGCGGGGCGTGCGCGCGCCGGAGCAGGCGCGGCCTCCAGTGCACTGGGGCCCAGCTAGGGCGCTCTCGTGGGACAGTGGGTGTCACAGCAGCCAGCGAGCGGTGGTCATTCACACTGCCTGAAAGCAGGACCGCAGTATTCTCACGCAGGAAGCTTGGACTGAGAGCAGGAATGCTTAAGAGCACATATGACTTGTCCTGGTAAAAAACAGGATGCAAACCCAGGCCTGATAACATCCACCGCACTGAAAGCTCAGGGCTAGGACTTTCTCCTTTGAACAAGGATCCACATGTGGGTGTTTCCTGCTCGAGAGGGAGACAGGACCTTCAAAGGGCAGATGTCTGACCTTTGCAAGCCCAGATGAACCACATCAATGAGAAACGAATGGATGAACCAGATGCCAAATTACACATTTCCTACTGCACAGCTTCAATGTGAAAGGTCCTCCCAGAGTAATTGCTCTCGTGTTCTGGAAACCTCTTATTAATGTCAGGGCCCCTGGGGACGGCCTTACGTGTCTTAGGACGTTTGACAAGTTCCACTTTGATGGGAGATGTTTAATCTGGGCCTCAACATGGAGATTTCTCTCCACTACACGTTTTTGGTGTCTAGAGGACTCCCATCTCCCATAGCAGGGTTATGATCTTTTGAAAAGCCTGTGTAAAATTGAGTCTTCTCTTTTATAACTCCTTATCAGTCACTGACAGCTTCTCCCATAATTGCTATTATAATTGGATCACACATTTGTTATGTTTTTGGATGACATACACTATACTCCTGCCAACCCTCACAAACCATCATTTTAATGTGGGTTATATCCTGGTCCATAGATGACACTGTCAATATTTAGGGGTTTTTGTTTGTTTTAAGAGACCTGGTCTCTGGCTGGGTGCTGTGACTCATGCCTGTAATCCCAGCACTTTCAGGGGCCCATGCTGGTGGATCACCTAAAGGCCAGGACTTCGAGACCAGCTGGGCCAACATGGTGAAACCCCATCTCTACTAAAAAAAGACAAAAGTTAGCCGGTTGTGGTGGCCCACACCTATAGTCACAGCTACTCCTGAAGCTGAGGCAGCAGAATCACTTGAATCCAGGCAGAGGTTGCAGTGAGACAAGATC